TGGCTCCTCTTCAGAAAATTAACCAAAGTTTCTTAGATGGTTATTTCTGGGCTTCTAATTCACCAACCGGATTCTACACATTGTGGAATTCAGGGAAGGTGCAAAAAAAAGGTGAATGAGGCATAGATGGTAACCTTGCTTGCAAACTATGTCTTTAAGTAACTCAAAAGTGAGTTAAAAGGACAACCAATGTGTTTATATATTATATCGCTACATTTTTAGCCACGCCCAAAAAATCAGAAATGTAACAGAAATGTTTAAACCCAAATTGAACCCAATGGTTTTAAGCCTTTCTACTTGTTTAGAACAAGATTTCTAGGATTTATATGCGTTTAAAAAAAAAAAGGCAAAATTCCTTTTACATGATCCATCCATTTTCTGTCACGCTTATCTCAAAGGTTGCTGGTTCCTATTTCCAGCTGTCTACAGGCAAGAGGCGGGGTACGCCCTGGACCATTCACACACACCTTGAGAGAATTTAGAGAAGCAAATTAACCTAACATTCATGTTTTTGGACTGTGGGAGGAAGCTGGAGTACCCAGAGAGAACCCACACATGCTCAGGGAGAACATGCAAACTCCATGCAAAAAGAGCCCATGTCGGGAATTGAACCCAGAACCTTCTAGCTAAAAGGCAGAAGTCCAAACCACTGCGCAGCCCTTTTCTGTGATCATTTTGTGTTTTTCAGTCCTTGTCATCTAATGTGTTCATTGATCAATCTGTTTATTTTCTATATTATTATTTGCACTGCCGACTGTTTATTCACAGCACCAGTTGTTTACATTTACATCTGCAATAACATACCGTACTTTAACTGTAATATGCAATTACCTTCCACTGCACTTTAATTTAGATAGCTTCTGGCCAAACTCTATATTCATCTTATAGTAAAACCAATCTGTATATTATGCTATTGTACATAGTAATATCCACCTGTATATTATATTCGGTACATATCCAGCTGTAAATTTAGTTCATATCACTAGTAATCTATATATTATATTCATTATTTATAATAGTATTCATCTCTATACTCATTCAGTAGAAAAATCCACTTCCTGTATTTATGGAACCATTATTTGTTCTGCACTTGCTACTATTACACTTCTGGTTAGACCTAAACTGCATTTCGTTGCCTTGTACGTGTACATGTGTGATGACA